ATAAAAAAAAAATTAGCCAGGCATGGTGGCGCATGCCTGTAATCCCAGCTACTCGGGAGGCTGAGGCAGGAGGATCGCTTGAGCCCAAGAGTTTGAGGTTGCTGTGAGCTAGGCTGACGCCACGGCACTCACTCTAGCCAGGGCAACAGAGTGAGACTCTGTCTCAAAAAAAAAAAAAAAAAAAGATATACCCTAATTCACTCTAGTCTTCAAATGATGAAAATTTAGGATGTTTTCATTTTTTTCATCTTATTATAAAACTCTGTGAGGGTACTTCCATGGGATTTATTCCTAGAAGTACAATCAGGAATAAAGGATATATGGGTGTGAAGGATAATAGATTTGGCCAAATGTCCCTTTAGAGAGATTTCTCCAATCTGGATTCACATCAAAAGTAGGTAACAGTGACTGTTTTCTCTATTCCTTCCCCACCTCTAAGTGTTAGCAGCTTTTTAATTGTAGCTGATCTAAAAAAAATGCATGTTCTCATGCATTCTATTTCTTTAATTATGAGTGAGTCATTTCATATTTTAGTTGAGTGTTGGCCATTTGTATGTAATCTAGTAACCATCTTTAATTTTTTTTGCCTTTTTAAATCAGGTTGTTCATCTTTTTTTCTAAGTGTGTATTAACCTTCGTTATTTCTAAAAATATTTTTCCATTTTATTTGACTGTTTTTGTCTTACAGAAGCTTTAAATTTTGTATGATCTGAAATTTATCAATATTTTCCTTAATTGCTATTAGGTTTGTGTAATGTTAGAAAGTTTTTCCAAATACTATATAACAAATATGTTAACATAGTGATGTTTTATGGTTTTAATTTTATATTTAAACCTTTGATAGGTTTGGAAGGTTTTTGGTTTAAGCAGTGAGCTAAAGATCGAGGAGATTTTCTTCTGCTCCAAAATTTTCAGCCACGTTGTTCCTAAACAATTTAGTGAGTAGCCTATCTTTTCCTCCAGATTATAATGTCACCTTTATCATGTACTAAACTCTCATTTACATTTAACATCTAAAATTTTTATTCTGCTTCATTATTTTCATGTGACTACCACACTTTGAAATTTATCATTGTACATTTTACTTTATTTGTTTTTAAAAATAAACTTTATTGTGTATATTTAAGGTATACAATATGATGTTATGGGATACATATAGATAGCAAAAAGGTTACTGCAGTGAAGCAAAATGACATATCCATCATCTCACAGTTACCCGTTCTTTTTTGTTTTTGTGGCAAAAGCAGCTAAAATCTACTCATTTAGCATGAATCCCAAATACAGTACAATTGTATTATCTATACTGTAGTCCTCATGTTGTACATTAGATCTCTAGATTTGTTCATCCTACATATCTGCTACTTTGTATCCTCTGACCTATGTCTCCCCATTTCTTGCCCCCTGGTTTTGCTCTCTTCTCTCTGTATACCTATATTTGAAATTCTTTTTAGATTCCACGTATATTTAATATTTTCCAAGCAATATTTTTCTTTCTGCATCTGGCTTATTTCACTTAGTATAATGTCCTCCAGGTTCATCCATGTTGTGGCAAATGGCAAGATCTTGTTCTTTTTAGGGATGAATACTATTCTAGTGTGTGTGTGTATGTATACACACACACGCACACACACATATATATATATATACACATACATACACATACCACAGTTTCTTTGTCCATTCTTCTTTTGATGGATACTTAGGTTGTTTCCTTATCTTGGCTATTGTGAATAATGCTGCAATAAACATGGTAGTGCATATTCATGGGAGTGTATCTTTACAAGGTGATGATCTCATTTCCTTTGAGTATATGCCCCAAAGAGGAATTGCTGGGTCATATGGTAGTTATTTTTAATTTCTTTAGAAACCTCCATAATGGCTCGACCAATCTACATTCCCATCAACAGTGTACTGTTGGCTCACCCTCCCTAACCTTTGTTATCTTTTGACTTTTTGATAATGGCCATCCTAATGAGTGTGAGGTGGTATTCCACAGTGCTTTTGATTTATAGTTCCCTGATGATTAATGATGTTGAGCACCTTTTCATATACCTGTTGGCCATTTTTCTTCTTTGGAGAAATGTCTATTCGAGTCTTTTGCCCATTTTTTAATCAGGTTATTTGTTTTTCTGCTATAGAGTTGTATGTGTTCTTTGAAAATTTTTGTATCTTATCAGATATGTGGTTTGTAAATATTTTTTCCCAATCCATAGATTGCCATTTCATTTTGTTAATTGTTTTCTTTGCTGTGCAGAAGGTTTTTAGCTTGATGTAGTCCTATTTATTTATTTTTGCTTTTGCAGCCTGAGTTTTTGGTGTGTTATCTAAAAAATCATTGCTAAGGCCAATATCCAGGAGCTTATTATACATTTTAATAGCTGAAAGAGCTAGTGCACTCTCATTACTTTTTCTCAGAATTTTTCTTATCTGTCTCACTTAAGTTTTTTGTTGTTGAGAATTAATATCTTTTTGTCAAGTTAAAAAAATTATATATTGATCAATTCAGGGAGAATTGGCACCTTTACAATATTGAGTCTTCCTGTCCAAGGCAATATGTCTTTTTTACATTATTTTTTACTTCACTAAGTGTGGTTGAAGTGTTTTTTTTAAATGTAGCTTTTATTAGTTTGCTAAATGATACATTTTATTTATTCTTATTATTGTTCTAACTCACTATTATTTGTATAAAGGAAATTTGTTTTATATTTAATTTTTTCATTTTACTGAATTTTATTTTACCACTTTTAATACTTTATTATTTGGTTCTCATGGATTTTCTATGTATACAATCATCACTCACAAATAATAGTAATTTTGGTGTTTCTTTAAATATTATGTCTTATGTAACTGGGTTGGCCACAAGCCCTAAAACACTGTAAAATAAGATTGGTAGTAATCAATGTTTTTTTCATGTTCCTAACTTTAGTGGAATGCTTCTATTTCTTTACCATTAGGCATATATTAGCTTTTGTTTATGTATATATAAAATTATTGCCAAGTAACACCAGTCTATTTTATTTTAGTAATTAATTTAATAATTAAGAATGGATATTGAATGTTATTGTTCTAGCCCTATTGCCTAAGATTTCCAGGTCCATACCTGGAAAATAAAAAAATTAGGTTTAATGACCCATTGCAATGAGACAGACCACATCCCAGAGGAACCATGGGGCATTTCGCCAAAGAAAGAACAAGAGGAAATTATTGTAGGATTTGGGATAAAGGTGGAGTTTGGGTGAATATTAAATAAAGAAGAATGTTGATAGGCTCAGAACAAAGCAGGGCTTTGTGTAAAAGGCCCCCATCAGGTCTGCAAAGTAGACCCAGAGTCCTGTTTCCCTGGATACTAGAAAATTAAGAGAGGTATGGAATGTTGTGTTCAGAATCCGCTTATCTGCCGTTCTGCATCTGAGTGTAAATTGAGGCTTTGGTAGGAGTTAGGAAAAGAAAGGAGCCAACTGAAGAGTAATTTAGAAGGCAAAATCAATAGAACTTGGTAACACTGGATGTGGAGTGAGGAAAAACCAAGTTGAAATTTGACACCTCCGTTTATGGCCCCAGTGATTGGGTAGATGACCATGTCTTCAGCTGATGTGGAATATATACTGTAACAACAGTTGGTTTAGGGAAGCAAGAGAGGGAAAGGCAGGATGGTCACTTCAGTTTTTGAATTTTAGGGTTTCTGATTGCTGTAAGGCTCTACAGTATAGATCCATAGGTCATAGGGTGTGTAAGTGTGGGGATGCTGGAGGTTGGGGTACAACTATAGCTACAGAGTCATGAACATTGCTGAAGGAGGGCCTGCAAAGTGAGAGGAGCACTGATCAAGAGGAGAACTCAGCCAGGTGCAGTGCTTCACACCTGTAACTCCAGCACTTTGGGAGGCCAAGACAGGAGGATCGCTTGAGGCCAGGAATTTGAGACCAGCCTGGGCGACATAGCGAGACCCCATCTCTACAAAAAATTAAAAATTAGCCAGGCATGGTGGCGCACACCTGTAGTTCTAGCTACTCAGGAGGCTGAGGTGGGAGGGTTGCTTGAGCCCAGGAATTTGAGGTTATGGTGAGCTGCGATCATTCCACTGCACTCCAGCCTGGGCAACACAGTGATTCTGTCTCTCAAAAATGAGAGAGAGGGAGAAAGGGAAGAACTCCAGGAAGATTTTTCTAAGGTTTCCAGGCTGGTAGGATGAGCACACAGTGAAGACTACAAAAGAACAGAGAGAGTAGCAATCAAAGTAGAGAACTGCCATGTCACGGAAATGGAGGGAAGGATTTCCAAGGAAGAATGAGTGGTCAATTGTATCAAGTGCAGGAAACAGGCTCAGGAATGAAAGAATTGAATTGGCTTAACAGTTGGCAGGTGGGTAGTGACTTTTGCCAGGGTAGCTTCAGGGAAGAGGGTGGAGCAGAAGACTAAATTCTATGTATTCAGTCAATAATACTAAGTGAGATGTGGAAAAGTGAGAAGCAGGCTGAGAAGGGGAGGAGACAGGGCAGTAATTGTTGTGACATCAGGCTAAAGGTCTGATTTTTAGCAAAAGATTCATTGTTTCACTTTTTCCAGCCAATTAGAATCAGAACGTCTGCTATGCCTGATGGATTTCTTAAAAACATCAAATAAAGTTGAGTCTTCTGTAGTCTTTTTGTACTCACTTGAGCACTTGATCTCTTTAACTCATTCCACATCCTCCTTCCTGCTGCTTCCCTGGAACACACACACACACACACACACACACACACTCACTCACACACACACACACACACACACACACACACACATTTGATTCTATCATAATGGCCACACAGACCCTTTTAGAAAAGATTCCTCCTTGGACTGTACCAGCAGGTATGGCTGTGGCACTACACAAAGCTGTGGGGAAAGACCAGATGAATCTTGAGCTCAGAAAGAAGGGCTCAGTTGCACAGGTCAGATAGTCAGATAGTATAAAGAAATCCTTCTTTTGGAATTATTTAGGAAAGAATGGAGTTTTTGAAATATAAAATCAATAATAATTTTTATTTCGTGTCCTGTGCATGTGGCAAAACAGCTGTGAAGACAGGCATGGTTGGCACAAACCACTCCGGTTAGCAAGACCAGGAAAAACCCATGGGTTACCTGAGCTCCCATCCCCACCTGGGTGGCAGCCCCACCTCTTGGATTTTAAACTCTGTGGAAAGTGCAGGCTTGCAGGAGTCCTGTGGAGCAGAGCAGAAAGGTAGGACATTAAAAATCTTCCTATATTTATTTATGAACTGAACAGTTAAGTATAGTACAAAGGTGCTACCACTCACTGACCTCTTCTGTGATGCGTGGACGGGGCCATTTTCCCAGTCCCCTTCTCCACTTGCCTGCACAGCTCCTGTGCCTACCACCAGGAGTGCCCCACACCAAGGCCGTAACACGATTTCCCTGCCGTACAGCATCCCCCACCTATTTCTTATGGGTGGAGCTCACCACCTGAGTTCAAGTGGCTGGAAGTCCCCCAGAAAGACTGTCCTCCCTGACCTCTTTAAGAGATGAGGAACTGACATAGCAAAAGCACCTGGAATGTGCTAGTTTCTGTGCCGGGGGCTAGGGATGGAGCAGAGAACCGCAGAGCCAGACTGTCTCCCCTTGTGGACAAGGTTAGGTAAATATCAACTTGGTTCTCACACAATGGGCCAGGGCAAGCACATTGCTTCCATCAGAATCACATGGGGCTAACTTCTAAAATGCAGATACCTGACCTAGCACAGACTTGCTGAATCAATACCTCCAGGGCCTGGAATCTGCATTTGTAATAAGGACTTCCACTCATTTATCCACACACTCCTGCTGAAGATTAACCTCCCTACACCACCTGTTATTCCCCCACATCTTCCAAATGCTTTCAAGTGATTCAGTTGTGCCCAACATACTGCAAAGGTGTGTTTTATTCTATTTCAATTCTTAGACACTGGTGTTCCAGATGAGTAGTATGCATGGCAACTTTATAGTTACCAGAAACTATCACTGTCAAAACTCTCTAGAGCAGCACTTTCTGAAAGAACTTTCTATGATGATGGAAACATTCTCTTTGATGATCAATATGGAGCCACACGTGGCTGTTGAGCACTTGAAATGTAGCTGGGTGGGACTGAGAAAATAAAATTTTAATTTAGTTTAATCTTAATTAATTTAAATTTAAATAGCCACATCTTGCCAGTGACTACCATATTAGACAAGGCAACTTTAATAAAAAGTTTGCTATAGATCAATGGGCATGTGCACATAAACCTCTTCATTTTCTTGGAAATAAGGTGGAATTCTGCATGTCCAGTAAGTTCACTGCCTTCATGCCCTGAGCCTGTGTCCACCTTACAGTCTGCCCTTACCAGCTAGCCTACCATACATATGGGACTTAGGTTGTTCTCTCCTTGTTTCATCTTGTCCATGTGGTCATATCCTGAGGACCACAGTCTCTTCCTCCTTTTGTACCCACCACCCCAGAACCCACGACCGTATTTGGCCTGCAACTTCCCCATGCTGTTCCTCCTACTCACGTGAAGTTGAGCATTTTCTCAGGTTACCAACAGCGTTAACATAGTCTTCTCCTAAGTATTTTTCATATGTGGTTTTGTCTGGAAGTGTGGCCAAACATACAGTGTTATCCTTGAACAGAAGGTCCTTAGTTTCAGACTGGAACAAACAGAACTTCTTCGAGCAGTCAGGTACGTTACTTCCAAACTCAGCCTGTCAAATGGACAGAAAGTGCATGAGGACCTTTGGCCTTGAGCAGCTGGGAACACATGGATCAGAGGAGGCTGAAAGCTCTGAACCAGCCCTGGGCAAAAAAGAAGCTACAGAGTGTGCCTCTGGAATTTTTCGCCTTCCTCACCTGCCGTTTACCCACTTGGGGCCCCAACTTCATGCTTTCATGACACACCCAAATGTTCTGTAGGGTCCCTGGTCCCACCTTCCTCTGCGAAGTCCCTCCCACCCACCTGCCCACTCCCACCTTCTCTGATCTCTCTTCCTCACTTCATTATTAATTGTCCCTAAGAAATAAGAGGACAATAACATGTCCCTTCTGATGTTATTGTCAAAGAAGATATTAAATGTGAGCCCTCCCAGAAGAGTGGTAGAGATAGTTGTTAAAAGTTCGTGTTCAACTGCATTTTGAATTGTCTTGGATAAGCCACTTAACTTCTCAAGGCCTCTTAAAGTTGTAAGTGAAATGATGATTGCGAAAAGTTTAGCATTCCATATAGCAGCTAGGAAATGTTCATTAAATATTCATTATTGTCATCATGTACCTTAAAAGGACTTCTGAAGATATGCTATCTTAATTTAAAAAACAGCTAATAGTGAATCAACAGGCAGGGTGCTATACTTAAAAGGAAGATGATGTTTACGTATAGAGGGCCTTTAGGATTTGAATACCAGCAAGGCTGGTCCTGAGGTGGTTGTTCTCCTCAGAGGGCAGGCTTTCTAAGGATAGGGGTCCTAGGTTTTTCAGACTGTTGAGAACAGTGTTTAGTCTGCTAGGCAAGAGATACAGAAATCCATTGTTCATGTCTTAGATCAAGGAATGCTGGGAAACAGGATTAGTCTTCTCCTTCATCTTCAGGAAGGACAGAAGTGGGGGAAATGAGAGTACCCCTGAGCAAGGTGAGGGAGAGCAGGAAGGCAGATTTCTGGAAACGTGGATCAGATGGGGACTCGTCTCCAGTGAGCAGGAGTTAGAAGCAGAGCCAGGCCTGGGAGATCCAGTTCCATAATTACACAGCGAGTGTGTTTTGACCACTTTCTATAGACCAGGCATTTTCCTATGCCATTTGGGTGCATTTCTTCACTTAATTCTCATATTAACTAAGAAGCAGATAGAAGTATTATTATTCCTATTTTGTATATGAGGAAACTCAGGCATGGAGAGGTTAAGTAATATACACAAGATGGCACAGCTAGGAAGCTATGGAGCTGAAATTTGAACACAGATATTCTAGTCCACAATGAATGGCTTCCCAATTCTGGTTTTCAGAGATAGAATGCTAGAGTCAGGGCTGCACTTAGGTGTGAACTTTCCCAAATAACCCACAAACATCTAGGAAGAAAGGGTGGGAGGCCCTGGCTGGTCTGTACCTGCTGGAGACTTAACACCTCACTGACACAAGCTGCCTTATCTTTCCGTGAGACCACAGCATGATTTGGGCCTCGGGCCAGGTGGCATGTGTCAACCTTATCCACAGGCTTCCTGGAACCATCAAGGCACAGCAACTCAAAGTCTTCCTGCTTCAGATCCTTAGCCCATGCGTCCATGTTATTTCCTGGGGAGAGAAAGGTGGTGAATCAGTCACAACTGACGGCTTTGGTCTAGGTGCCCTCACTAGGGGGATGCAGTTGACTCACTGGTGTGTGGAGGACCTGGCCTCTGTCGCCAACAGCAGTGCCCACGCTGGGGTTGTAGTGATGGGGAGGGGAAGAGACACCTGTGCAGTCTATAAGGCCATATTCAACTCACAATTACCAGGAATTACTCGTGACCACCACCTTCCAATCTTCCCCACCAGCCAGGTGGGTGTAAACTATTAATATATTCTCTGAATGTTCAAAAAGATCTTCATTTCTAAATTCCAAAGCCTTCTGTACTACTTGCTCCAGCATAGGAAGAGCACGATGCTCTAAGCCAGGCTTATCGAGCTCTGTACTATAAGTACATAAGGCATCTCCAAACAAAAGAACTTTTTCCCAGAAGACACTTTTGGAATCCACACCAGTGTTTTCAATCCAACTCTCTCGTACCAGTTCTAAGTGAAAATGTGCTGTGGTACAGGTCCATATCCTGTCTCAGCCCCTTGCCTCGTCTTTTCTATATTCTCTTTGTTTTTTTCTTTTTACTCACCACTATACAAAGATTCTGTATTCTCTTTGAAAAACAATCTCGCCTATTCTCAGGGTTTCAGCTTCTTCCTCCTATTCTCAAATATGTTTTGCCAACTTTTATTTCTCTTCCATAATGCAGGATTGCAACCTTTGCTATTTATCCATTTTTCATTTAATTTTCTTTCTTTAATTGGGCAAGTAATACATGAGACCACACTCATAAATTTTTTAATATATCTACATATAAACTAAAAGTACTCCTTTTCTAAACACCCCAAATCTCACTCAGTTCTGTAGTGCTAATCTTTGATATCACATCTGCATGTTTCCATCCATGCCTTGCTATATGCATTTACCTGTGTATGCATCCATATGGATGCTGCATGTTTATGATTTTGTTTAGTGTTGGATCTTTTTTTTTTCTTTTTTTTTTTTTGGCCAGGCTCTTACAGATCAATAGTATTGGATCTTGACAGATGTAAAACTCTCTAGCTTTTTTTTCAACCACTTACACACCTTGTAGATTCTTTTTGTCAGTATATATAAATCAAGTTCAGTCTTTTTAACTACTGTATCATATTTCATAGTATGGCTATAACATAGTATTTTTAAAACCATTCCTCCATTAATGGACACTTAGAGTATTTACAATTTTTTCCACCACAATGGGGTTAAAATGAGTATTATTACATACGACTATGCTTTAGTAGAAGCGGAAAATAGCTAGTTCAAAGGGTATGTGAATTTTTATTTTAATAGAGAAAGATAAATTGCCTGCCCCTCCACCACCACATAATACACACCTTTGACCACCTTCTAACATTTCTCCTTTCTTTTCTTACTTCTGTTTCTCAGACTCATATCTTCTGAGTGAAATCCATCATCTTTCCCTCCAAATCCACTGCATTTTATTTAGTAATTTAAGCATTTATTGAACAATACTATATTCTCAGCCCTCCACAAAGCACAATCTTATTGGAGGGAAAAATAGCACACATACCAAAAGCAAAAATTCAGAGCAGGGATAATAACATTTTATATTTTGTGAAGCACATTCTAAATGCTATGTAAACTCAAAACCAGGGCTTTGAGAGCAGATTAATTGGGGAAGCTGGCTGGAGGAGGCAAGGTTTTAGTTATTTCTTGTAATATGCATAGGATGAAAGGAAGAAAAAGGAATGAATGCCTCTCTGTGTAAGGCAAGAAGGGACCAGTATGTGCCTGGTGTTTCTAATGGGGAGAGGAGACCAGCCCCTGGAACAGTCTCGGGCAGTGGGGCCAAACAGATGAGATACCACCGGGCACAAAAGGCCTTGAGAGGGGACAGTGAGGAGGGCACTCAAGCAGAAGGAAAAATGGGTCTGTGAGGACTTGTGAATGGAAATCAATGTTAACGAACGAAGCCAGGGACTGAAGGTAGAAAATTAAGAAAATTTAGATGGGAGGTGATTCAGTCTGGGCTAGGAGGGCAGCAGTGAGCACCTAGAAGGGCATGTTAAAATATGTTTTTTTCCAATAAAAGTAATGCATGTTTACTGATGGGAATTTATAAAATACTGCATAGTATCAGGAAGAAAATCTTGCAACATTTGTAATTCCACAGCCTACACCTTCAAAATTGGTACATTTCTTCCATTCTTTTTACTACACCCATACAATATAGAGACGCATATATGCGTAATTGAGATCAAAGAGCCCATGTGCTTTTGTATCTTGCTTTTTCTATACCATAATGTACTATAGCACTTAAGATATATTTTGAAAAAATAAAATAAGACATTGACTGACAGACTTAATCTAGGCCTGACAGGCAGGGAGTATAACAAGATTCTTTACAGGGATAGAGGGTGTGAGAAGAGGGAATTTTGAGAGAAAGATGAGGAATTTGGATTTATGTAAATTGAGTTTGCAATGCCAATGTACTCTGTACATAAAATGACACCTTGGGAAACAGAAGTACTGGAATGAAATTTAGATGAGAGATCAGACCTCTCATCTAAATTCTATTCAGAAGGTAAGAATCTGGAGTTGTTGCAGAGTGCACATCCAAGGCCTAGCGATGGGAGCCCTACTCAGAAGAGTACAAAAAGAAATCAAAGACAACAAAGAATCAAGCTTGTGGTGACACTTGGCAGGAGGAAGCAGAGCCCTTAAAGAAAAAATAATATGAAGGAAGAAAGAAAACTTAGCCAATCCAATATTCCTTTAAATAAATTTTTAGCAATCTCTGTGTGTCGTGTGCTATACTAGGTGCCGGCAATATAAGAGGAAGAAAAAGAGGTCAAAGAGTTTCTGTAGCCAAAGTATATTACAGAATGTAGTAAAGTCACTAATAGCAATTTGGGCAGAGGATTCTTGTAGGATGGGGTGTGCCATCTAAGAAGGCTTCTTAGAGGAGCTGGTGCTGAGCTATTAATCGTTCATTCTAGATGAGCTGCCTAGGAAAGATGGGAGGTTGGGGGAATGAACATGAGAGAAAGCAGGAAAGTAATTAGCATCCTGGACTCTAGTGGGTTCCACTAGCACTTAGCAATACTGAGGGCCGGGCGCAGAGTGCTCATTCTCACCAATCTTTGTTTTGTTTGTTTTTAATGTCATGGCTGTCCAGCTTTCACTCACAAGTAAACAGCCATTTATGATTCTTGCCTGAATCAATTATCAATATATTGGTTGGCAAATGATCATGTCTAACTTTTTTATTCCTTCTGCATTCATTAGTTAACGTTCTATAATGAGGAAGCGCTTTTCCTTCTTCATTTCTCTAATCAGCATTGCCTCATGGATTCTTATTTTATTCAATGGGTTATTATCCCTTACTGCTATCATTATTTATTTTAATATTCAAAATTCCCAGATTTGGCAGTGTGAGGTCCTTCAGATTGGCTCCTGGGTGTCTGGATATGTCCCGTCACTCTTTGAGCACTTCCGTGTGATGTGCTAGGCTCACTGTACATTTTTCCTGCCCCAACCCTGGAGTCAGCTACTTTTCCAAGGATTCCTGATTCCTCTTAGCAGAAAATGGTATTTATAAGCCAATATCTTCATGCTCATTCCTAGCCTTGTGCTATTGCCTCTAGGTCTTCTCAGTGGACAGAGCCAGGAAATATAGAAAATAGCTATAAAGGACATTATTGGGATGACCGAAATTTGAATGTGGACTGTGGATGTGATGAGTATCAAGTCCATGTAATGTAAAATTTCCCGATCTTGTTAACCATACTGTGGGTATGTAGGAGAATGTTTTGTTCTTGGGAAATAGGCACTGAAGTATTTAGGGGAAAAGTACACGAGGCCTACAGCTGTGGGGGTACACGTGCGAGAGGATTTAGGGCCACTGGGAGCCCCATGGTCCTGATCATTCTGCCAACCCAGGTTAACACTTCTTTCTTCACTAAACAGACAGGTTGAGAATTGGAGCTTTGGAGCCTGACAGCGTCCATAATACTTCCACAGAGGCTTCCCTGAATATAAGTGAATACCAGTGACCCAGACTTTAGGGGGATAGAGGAGCATGTGCACATACCATTAGTGTTCTGCAGAATAGTCTCATGTTTCACAAAGGCCACATCTCCCTTCTCAACCAGACACCTGCAGTGGTCCAGACAGGCGGAGAGAGAAGAGAGGAGGTCAGAGTGAGGCATCTGTCATTTTAGGAGACATATATCATTATAGATTCAGGCTGGCCATCTGATAACAGCAATTGTAACTTCCGTTCTGTCACTAAGCATTGTAAGGAATAAAGAAAAAGAAAATGAAAGGCTCTGAATTGCTGCATAGGTATATAACCTCAGTTCCACATACTACATCATATTTTTTGGTACAGCTTCTTTGACAGATTACGTCATTTTCCTAGCATCAACATGGAGAGTAGAGAATCAGTTTTTCAGTGAGGCGATGCCTCCCCTAGCATATGAAATGTGAATGAAAAATTCAATTCCTTTAGATTCTTGTAAGAAGCAAATGTTTGTGCAACATTTATTAGAGACTGAAACTCTATCGCAAATTTCAATTTGTGGTATCCTTTATCCCTTTGAAAAAGAATTTTGATATTCATGGAGCATTTGTTATGTTTTGGGTTTGTTTTTTTTTTTTTTTTTTTGGTTTTTGTCTTGTTTTGTTTTTTAGAGAAATGCAGAGAGTATGGCAAAACCTGGTTTTAAGGCACTTGACTCTATTAACTCCCAGTCCATGTATCTCTGAGTGTGGTACTGGGGATTTTAACACAGCTTTGAGCCACAAGTCCCTAAGAAGTTTCAGAAAAGAAATAATAATAAAAGGAACTCTACTTAGAATGGTTCTAATATTAATTTTTATACTGTATTCCAGTCCTTTGAAAACACATACCACACAGACGATGAACTAGTAGGTACTTTAAAGTCTGCCCAAGGCCCTACTCAATGATCCAGGTGGGTCAGACTCTTGTTTGATGGGCCTAATCCTGCTCTTCATCTACTTTAACCCCCTTGCTTCAAGGAAAAGAACCTGCTTCTTCCTATAGTGGTTCAGGAGTTCTGAGGGTAGCTAGCTGAGAAGGTGGGCACACCTATTCACAATATATGGCACAACTATTGTGCCATATATTGATTTTGTTTTATTTTCTTTTGAGTTTGGAGTCTGTCAGTTTGATGTGTTTTACTTCATAGATAAGTTTTATAAGATATGTTTAGAGAAAGAAGCCTTTATACATGTATATATAAGCAAAGTTTGAGCCTTTTCTCTTGAGCTGTATTTCTCAAACATATGTTACCCCCACAAAAAGACAAGGTCAAGATACAAACTCTTAAATCCCTATGAAAATGGGCCGGGCGCGGTGGCTCACGCCTGTAGCACTGGGGGAGGCCGAGGTGGGCAGATCGTTTGAGCTCAGGAGTTCGAGACCAGCCTGAGCAAGAGCGAGACCCCGTCTCTACTAAAAAAAATAGAAAGAAATTATCTGGACAACAAAAAATATATAGGAAAAAATTAGCCGGGCATGGTGGCGCATGCCTATAGTCCCAGCTACTCTGGAGGCTGAGGCAGGAGGATCGCTTGAGCCCAGAAGTTTGAGGTTGCTGTGAGCTAGGCTAATGCCACGGCACTCACTCTAGCCAGGGCAACAGAGTGAGATTCTGTCTCAAAAAAAAAAATTCCTATGAAAACAACACAGTCTACTTTGTAAAACTGGAAACTTGTGGAGTGTGAATTGTACTTACTCTAACTCATAAGATGGTTCTAACTGGAAAACAGGGATAAACTTTGTTTTTCACTTCACTACTGGGATGCTCAATTATTATACAATTCCAGCATCTTCGTGCAGTTCATGGATTCATGAACCACCAGACAGCAGAAGGCCCGAAGCAGAAAGGATAGTTAAAAAGTAATAAGGCAGTAAGGTACACAGGTGTCTCTAAAAAATTATAGATACTCCATAAAGTACAATTGTAGTTAGGAATTTAGAAATCATGTACTTCAGTATTTTGTATTTCCACATGAGTATGGTTCTAGGTTGCCCAGAGGCACGTGGAAGAGCTTGGGCCAAACTCCTGACTCGATGTTTATCCAACTGTAGTAGGGTTTCACTGCCTTGGCACTAGTGACATTTGGAGCTGGATAATTCTGTGTTGTACAGTGCTATCCTATGCATTGTGGCATGTTTGGCTGCTTCTACCCATTAGATGCCAGTAGCACCCTCCGCCTCCACACCAACATTGTCATAATCAAAAACGTCTCCAGACATTGCCAAATGTCCCCTGGGGGGCAAATCACCCCCGGTGGAGAACTGCTGAACTGATCCACATACTAGTCTCTACTATCTGTGACAGCCAGGTCTGGTAGACCATGCCCTGGAGGAGTCTGGCTGCCCTTCCACTCATGTGGCTCTACATTTGGTTGTAAAATCTCCCACCTTAATATGTGCAGCACTAACAGAATAGGAATGTAAGAATCTTACCTTGGTTCCTGAAAGAAATCTGGTTGAGGCTGGGATATTATAATATTCACATGAGGGTTAAAAGACTCACCTGAAAGCCCCTGTGTAGCCATAGTATCCCTCTTTGCTGTTGGGCTTACACGTGTTGGGGTCTGGGCCCATACACAGCTGACAGAGACTGGAATTTTTCAGAGACCCAGGGGCACAGCCTTCACTGAAAAATTCATCTGCACAGAAGGACAAGAGGAAGTCAGCTCTTTCTGAGTCAAACAAGCACCTTTTATCTAAGACATAGCAGGGCTGCATGGCCCAGGAGAGATAGAACATACTCATTACTTCTGTGAAATAAATGAATTTCACCACCACCAACTCAGGATCTGCCTGGCTACAGGATTTAACAGGAAACTTATTGAAGTTGGGAAAAGGAGTTGGTGACCAATTCAGGGTGGAGAAGTTTCCTCAGAGCACCATGACGGTGTCATCACTAACCTAAAGGAAAGAAGAAATGGAAATGACATGAAAGGGGACATAAAAGGGATGAAGACTGAAGGTCTCACTTCCTGAGCTTGTGCCACCTGTTTTCAGATGTCGCCTTCCTTGCCATTCATTAGAAGAGACCTTCCTACATTTCCAACCTCAGGAAGGGATGAGGAATTTTCCTTGCAACTCAACTGCCCTCCTATAGCTGTAAAAGTGCCAGGAGGCTCAGGAGAGCAGAGGTAGGGCCTTCGCCAGTAGGGATACTGAGCTTTCTGTATGTTGCCATGGCTGCGCTTTGCTTCATGTCCAACTGGTATCCCAGAGCACCCTGGTGCAGGGACATACATCTCCGGTCTCCCCACACATGAGGTTTGCTGGGTTCATAACGAGATTTTGAGTCCTCTCTTTTTAAAGGAGTTGCCCAAATTTGGAGGTGGCAGGGAAGAAGTACTCAGGAAGCTAATGTAAATGAGAATAACTGGAAAACATTTGTCTGCGGGGAACTTACACTTAGAAGTTTAAGGGAGTAGAAATAAGTGTCCCTGATGATAGAGGACACAGAAATTAAAGTGATTTCTACCCCTTTGAAGGCTTCTAGGAGCTGGGCAGTGACTCACAGGGCCTACAAAACCCTCTGGCAGGGATTGCTAGCTGTCTACCCAATACCCATTTCTGGAATGTACCAAGAGGTGATGTACCTACGTTCTGAGCAATGAGAAGTTAGTTAAAATAATTGGGTAGACTTCCTAGAAGGCTCCTTTAAAAAGCTGAGAGCAGCTGGCATAAACTTCCATTTGCTCTAGCCCCTTGATGCTTGTGCCTGCCTGGATGGTGGATGTGATAGTAACCACAAGGTGCCCTTGAAGATGGAAGCCTCATGCTAAGGGGGGAAGAGCAGAAAGAGAGAAGGAGCCTGGGTTTCTCATGACCATACCAGCCATGGACTACTCACCTCCGGTCTTTTTCATGAGAGATAAAAGTAAATGCATATTTACTTTATCCCATTATGTGCAACCAAAACGAACCATCCTGACTCAGCAACCCAGTTCCATCCCTCCCAGACCTTTTTGATATTTCCCGGAGGTTCACTTTTACCAAATTCTATTTCTACAGAACCAGAGTGCACAGCATCTTACGCCACAGCCCTCTCCCCTGAGGAAAGACCTTTCTGGCATGGCCTTCATCACTGCTCCTTCTCAGGATTCACTCACCAAATCTGCAGTGGTTGAGCTCGTTGTAGAGCAGGCCCATGGGGATGTTCCAGCCAGCGGTTCTGTCGACTCCAGTGTGGCAGGACTTTTTGCCTTTCAGAGTGTTCCAGGTGATGCCAGCATCCGATTTCTTTACCACTGCCACAGCAAGATACCCTACAAGAAAGACACCAGAAAAGGATATGTTAACACCTCCGGGGACTCCAGAGTGTCTGCTTCCAATTAAAGCCATTATCTCCCTAGGGAAGCAAAGATAGCCTGAAGTCAGTCATTGAGTCTTGAGAGGATCTCATAGTAACTGACTGAGGGGAAGTACAAGACACTCTGTCAGGGGAAGATTAATATGAACTTAGAGAACAAAATGCTAAGAATACATTATCATTAGAGCAATGGCTGATGTATAACCCTTCTCTGAATGCATGTAGTTACTGAAGTTATAAACCAGCAATTCACCCTCCAATGTGTTCTATCAGAGGAATGGATACTGAAAGAGCTAACATAACTCCAACCTTCTTATAAATTAACATATATTTGGATAGAGTTTTAAAAGACCAATAAACTACCGGGAATAATTGGGCCAGACATTTTCTGATAAGTAGAATATAGTTTTATACTAAAATAAATACGTAAAGTGGAAAATATCAAAATTAAGTCAGCTTCTGTTTTCAGTAACAAGTACATGCTGGCCCTTAAAATGAGGAATAGAACATCAAGCCATGATGTGTTTGCCAATTTAATTAATTCAGAACACTGTTTCCAACAGAAACAATCCTTATTGTCCATGGAATAAGAATGGCTCTTTCTATATCTGTTAGAGAACTTGGCTCCTAAAGTGATGGGGAGAGGCTGGGAGGTTGTCATCAGTGGAAGTGACAAGGACAGACTTGCATACTAATGGCTATCTGGAATATGATCTGCAGGGGCCTGAGCACAAGGGTTGTGGGGCCCAGTACTTGTGTTGGTGTGATTTAAGACTTCCTGACTTGCTCCTGCTCTCTCTCTCCAGATCCAACCTCAGCCAGAGGTGTGGGTGAGAACCAGGTTGGCCGGGGTTTCTGGGCCCAGCCCTGGCTTGGAGTCAGGTAATTTCATGCTCCCAGACATCTGCCTGTGTGAGGCTTTCAACCCTGTAAAGAAAAAATAAGCAAGGTTCCTTGGCTGGTGCTAACTCTCCTCTGAAAATGTGCAGGCCTCATGTCCTGTGAGGTGGTGGGAAGCAGTAGAAAGGGCCTGGATTTGCTTCCTGTTTGTATGATCCTAGACAATCTGTAAACTTTCTGAGCCTTAGGGTCCTCTTATGCATCTTTAGAGGATGCCAAAACCTACCTTATAGGATTAGATGAGAAATCCTGCATGCAAGTCATGGTAAATATAAAGAAATAACCAACACTATCAACTATTAATACTAACTTTCCGTGATTCTTTTGCATTCTAAAATTTGGTCTCTTCCAGTGCCTTACATACTTGTGATTTGAATTTTAAACTTACCTAACCAATTCCCCAAAACAATGGGAATTTACTTTTTAACTCCAAAGGTTATCAATCCCAACTCACCTTTCTCTGATGTTCTCATACAATCACTGCTTTTTTCTGGAGAAAAGAAAATGAAGAAGGCATTAAATTCTTATTTCTAGATTGGAAAATCATGCCTTTCTTATGCTGCAGCTATGAATAAAAAGAGTCAGATAAAACTATCTACACGTCACCAATTCCCAAAAGTCCAGACTCTCTGGATGATACAAGTCCATTTCAGCTGCTGGCATCTAGAATTCATCTACGAACTGTGAATTTCAATTTTCCTGCTCTGTCTACACCTAAAGGGAAGGTTTGCTGGCCAACTGTATTGAAATTCCTGCAACAAGGTAGTAGGGAAGCCAGAAGACCTGCCAGAAATCCCAGTCCTCTGCAGTGGGGTCATTTTTAATGAGCACTTCACAGTGCAGAGCTTCCATTCTCCACTTCTGGAAGGCACCATAACTCCTACCCTTCAGGATGACTGTGGGGATTCAGGATGAGGGAGCTCAGAGTCTGGGAAATAGGAGGTGCTCACTAAGGGAGTGCTCTGTGGCAGCTGTGGTATGAATCAGTCTGCAATTTTTCCATGTCCTCTCTCCATGGCCCAGAGGGAAGAAAACACAGAGAGGTGCTCCCCTCCACTTACCATAGTTCTCTGTCAGGACAGGTATCAAACCACACTTGCCCGCTATGTAGACATGCCCTCCATCCAAGCTCATAGCATCAGCTTCTCCATTCTGCAAAGACACAGAAAATCACAGCAGATGAAAAGAGGCCACGTCCTGCGCTATCTACTACTTTTCCAGCTATTTGTTTGAAGCAACCTTCCTGGCACAGGTCATGAATGCCAGGGAGATAGCAGATGCTGGTATCAAACCCCCAAAGGATCAGTCAGGCACACCCAGCATAGAAAATAAAATGTACTCTAATTTTCACCCAACCTTCATGAACTGATAATCAACTCCAGGTGCCTCGCTAAGTTTATTCAAGAGCAAAGACCCACATTCAGTCCTCCTACCCTCTCACAGGACACACTGTCCCAGAGATACTCCAACACCTTTCTGACACCAAGAATTCTCATTAATGGACAGATGAGTGGCGTCAGGAACTTGTAGCTGTGTCTGCAAGCACCTTCTGATATGGTCTGTAGCCCCTAATTTTAGCCTTCTTGACTGAGTGCTGTTTCAGTGAGTGGTGCATACACAACGTTTAATGAACTAGTCACATGTTTTCAAATAATATAATACTCAGAGCTAATAAGCCCCATATTTCAGAGATGCTTAGATTCAACAAGATTTGCAAGATTTCCCTTGGGCCTGGTAATGTACTTTCTGGGAAAACACCGTAAAGGAATAATCAGATAGGTAGGAAACTATTTGGGCAAAATGTACGAGTGGGGAAAATAACAAATGTGATTTATAATAACAAAAAGAGAAATTCAAATTATAATAAATGACAAAGAAATGGCTAAATAAATTGCAGCACCTTCATGCTATGGAATAGATATCAACATCAAACCATCATGGTTTTTTTCTTTAAAACATAAGTATGGCTATATTTATTTCTCTCAAATGCATACAAAACAATAATCATATAGCAACAAGTCTTTTGGTAATGATTTGATTCATAAGCATTTGAAATTTATATAATTTCACATCAATACCCTTGTATTTTTAAATATTATAAGTAAAAAAGCCCCAACTCTAAGTAAAAAAGCAACAACTAATTTATATATTTCCTATGTCTCCCTCTATACATGCAAGCTTTAAAAAGTTACAAACTGAAATATATACTATTATGTCCCCATAATTAAAAACAAACAAAACAAAACAACAAGTTGCAAACTGAACATATAAATCACATTTAAAAACTTGAGATTTTAAAACAGTCTCCCCAGTATGATTCAGAAAAATCCTTATACTGACAATATAGTCACAAGTGGTTAATTTTAAGAGGAGAAAAGGAAAGAAGATATAGACACAAGTTTGCTCTCTTAATATTTTACTAATCCTGTCAGTTGAAAATGGTGATATCCTGATAAGTAACAGTTTAGGTTTAATATAAGGAATGGGGTTTGCCTCATAGTTTGAAACATGCATTTCTAGTATTTTCCTATTTGATCTAAGCTCACTATAGCAAACCGATACCAAAAGAGATAAATTATTTTCTTTCGTACATTCAAACAATGTCTCCCTGGCGATATGTTTTAAGCTCTTTGCATTTCAGCTTGAAGGCCTCTGTCACCAGACCAGTTTCAGATTCTGTGGGTCAAGGCTCAGACAAATTTTTAATGGATTTTCAAACTTTTTCAGGCTTGCTGAAATAGCAGCTTCAGAAAGCACTTTTAGTGCGGTAGTCCCATTATCCATGGGGGATATGTTCCAAGTCTCCCAGTGGATGTCTGAAACTGTAGATAGTACCAAATCCTGTATATACTATGTTTCTCCTACACATACAGACCTATGACAAAACTTAATTTATAAATTAGACACAAGAAGAGATCAATAACTAATCATAAAGTAGAACAATTATAACAACATACTCTAATAAAAGTTATATAAATGAGCATTCTTGTGCTTCTCCTCTCTCCCTCTCCCCCCCCAAAATAGCTTAATATTTTTGGACAGTGGTTGACTGTGGGTAACCAAAACCCCAGAAAGCGAAACCTTGGATAAAGGGGGATGGCTGTACCTCATTTTCTGTTTCACAACAGTTAGATGGCTCCTCCCAAGTCCCTTTAAGCTCTTTCTTTCAAGGTAGTTCTGTTAGTTCCTTTTTATTTAGCACAACAAATCCAGTGACCTAAGAATGATAACTGTTTGCATATGCACAAATGTCATCCATTAGTGGGAGATTCTTCAAAGTTGCCTCTACTTTCCCAAAGGAAACATATTCTCCTACATGTAGTTTTACAAGGTCTTTCTTTATGATCAATAATCTGTATACAGCCGTCAAACTCTAGTATCTCCAGTACACAGCCACTTCTGTCCATTTTCATCTTCAAAGAAATCTGCTTTTATTTTTGCTTCATCTCTATGGTATCCTTTTGTCACACTGTGGCCACCAATAAGAATTTTACCTCTGGGATGTGGTTTATTAGTATTAGAGTATCCATCTTTCTCCCAGTCCTTTAATTTTACTTCATAGCAAATGAATGGAGCTCTCACTTCCACCAGTATTACAATCCCACACTTCTGTAATTGTTCCAGCCCTAGCAGATTCAATGAGTCCATATCGCTGACCAACAGGACAACAAAAGCTGATATTCATGAACTGCTCCATGTTGCAGAAAGTAAAGCACCACAGGATATAAGCCACATATTTCTACCTAGCAAGCTTTGAAATTTCCAGAAAACAAAGCTGTCATACAGAGGAGTACAATGCTCTTTTCAAATCTATTCCATTTTATAATTATAGGCCAGAATGAAGCATGATCTCTTTGTAGATCTGATCCATGATTTCTAGAATAGCTGCCATCTGTGTTGGTTTCAACATGGACGTATCCCCTTTGCTTCTATTTTTTACTTTTAAGGACTGATCCACTAAAGTGAGCGGTGAAGAGTAGCCAATTAGGCATCCATGTGAAAGAAAAACAAGCTCAGCACTTAATTTTAAAACGTGGACCAGAGGCAAATATCCAATGTAGACATCTTCCTTTTCCAGTCCTGGAATCCTTTGTGCCACCCCAGTTATACCAGTAATAATGTTACTACATGACAGTACGACTCCCTTTGGAAGTCCTGGGCACCCACTCGTGTACATGATTACTGCAATACCTGAGGGCCCTGGTTTGCTCTGAGGTCTGTTTTTCACACTTACCTTCACTTTCCACTGAAGCCATGGTGTCCACAATAATACCCTTGGAGAATTTGGACAGGTCAATGGCTTCCCATTGACAGTGATGATGTGGTACAGGTATGGGACCAAATAAACTATATCTTTTAACTTTGTTTGCAAGAGTTCTTTATGAGCAATGGTGCTGCTCATTTCTGTTTCATTTACTCCATGAACAATTGCTGGACCTCCTAGAGTAGCATATAACGACGTAACAAACTGAATATTCTACATAAAATACACCTGTGCACCAGTCATCCACTTGCCCTGGTCTCACCAAACATGGTGATGTTGATCTTTGGTTTCTGACCCAACAGCTGGAAGCTGTTTCCAAAATTAAAGGCTCAAATGATGACATCTTCATGGGAGAGAAAATTATAGTATACAAGAATAACCTTTTAAAAAATGTCTCAGTTTGGTTGTACTTCTTCCTCCTTTGAGATTTCACATGTTCCAAAGAGCATTTTGTCCTTAAATTTGTTTTTTGTATACGTAGAAACTTTATCAAGTGTATCACATCCAGGGTATTATATCGAAGCCAAATTGTCCAAACTGTTAACAGATCTATATATAAACTTGGGCTTTGAATTTGCAGGCTTTGCTTTCATTTGGTTTGTGTTTTCTTGTCTTAACTCAGACAAAAAATAAAATAAACTGTATGTTAAAATGACAAAGTGATATTATAAAATGTACAAAATATAAAAGAATGGGATTGATGGTCTGTTTTTTGTTCATGGTAAATGGTTTTGAAGATCTGTGGTTATTCATAAACGCTCAAAAATTAGAATTAACAGATTTTAGCAAGAATCAGTTGACAATGGCAGGAGGTACTAGTGCCTTCAAGATGTGCACTTTTGTTTCAGTACATTTAATGTTTTATTATAAAGGATCCAACTCAAGAACAGCCAAATGGAAGAGCTGCATAGGGCAAGGAATGGGGACAGGGGGGACATGGCACCTGGAGCTTCCATACCCACACCCTCTCCAGGATTGCCACTCTCCTGGCACCTCCATATGTGTACTCACACAGAAACTTCAAGTCAGGTTTTTAAAGAATGATTTATGATATGGGAAAAGCTCGCTGGACAACATTAGGTGAGTAAAAGGTAGCAAGCAACCTATATGATATGATCCCAATAAGAGGATTTTCTCTGAGTTAGGTTATTAGTACTTTTCCTTTTCTTCTTTATATCATTCAAGATTTTTGAAATTCTCTATAAGCCAACATGGAATACTCTTTTTTTTTTTAAAAAAAAAGTATTTTACAGACAGAGTGTCGCTATGTTGCCTAGGCTGGCCTTGAACTTCTGGGCTCAAGTGATCCTTCTGTCTCAGCCTCCTGAATAGCTGCGACTACAGGTGTGTGCCACTGTGCCCAGCTAGAATACTCTTGATCAACAAAGCAAACTTGTACCTGCCTGGATCCTACCAGGTACACAGATCCTACCACACTGGTCATGGCACACCACAGGTCTCAGGACACTCACACCATGCATGGTCTAGCCTCCCTAAGCAGGTACTGCTGAGATTGCCCTCCCACCGTATGCTAAGAGGAAAAGGAAACTTAGCTGTTAAGGCATCCTTCAGATCAACAAGAGCAAGATTCTGAACCTCCTGCCGGGCTGTGCTCACACAGTCAGGGCAAGGTTCCTGTGAACCAGGCTTTTTGCTTTGTTCCCAGGAACACTCAACTAGCTCAGCTTTAGGGGCCAGCAGGCAGCTGTGGCAGGGCTGCTGCCTGGGAGGCTGGAGTGACGTACCATGATCTTGGCAATGCAGTCTTCGGTGGACTCTGCTGATTCACATTCTATTTTCCCTCCACTGCTAACACTCCACTCGTCACACTTGAGCCTCTCGTGGTGGCTCAGTGCACACCACTTCACCGTCTTGCATTCATTCTTTGAGGTTTCTGGGCCTATGGCATAAGAAAAAGAAATGATTTATTTATTTTCGTTGCTACTATAATTGCCATTGGGTTCTTAGTCATAAATTCTTTGCCTGGATCGATGTCTAGAAGAGTTTTTTCTACATTTTCTTCTAGGATTCTTATGGTTTCATGTCTTACATTTAAGTCTTTTATCCATCTTGAATTAATTTTTGTGAGTGGTGAGAGATAGGGGCCCTGTTTCATTCTTCTGCATGTGGCTATCCGATTTTCCCAGCACCGTTTATTGAATAGGGCTTCTTTTCCCCAGTGTGCTTTGTTGTCTGCATGTACTCTTTAATAATTGGAACTAACCGATGAGCACACAAGTGCACAGAGGGAAGTGAAAGCCATAGGAAATCAAGCAGGGATAGGAGGGAGGAGGGGAGGGGCAAAAACCCACCTAACAGGTACAATGAACACTACTCCGGTTATGGGCACATTTACAGCCCTGACTCGAGCCATGTATCAAAAAACATTTGCACCCCTTAATATTTTGAAATTTAAAAAACTTAAAAAACCAAAAGAAAAAGAACCAGTGATCTAAAGTGGCCCCAGCTGTTGTCTGGTGTTTATTAATGCTACTGTCTTTATGCAAATACTGGGATTTGCCAGCAGTAAACTAAAAGATCCCATTCAAGGAATTAATCACCTTAAAAAGCAAAGTCAATACACAATATCTTCCTTGGCTTCTTATTTAGATTTAGCTTTTTACTTCTTCTGAGAAGCCAACTCTTCTCTCCAATATCCGGGCACTCTGTGACCTCTCTGACTGGTTTTTTTTTTTTTTTCTTTTTCAAAAAGCACTGTACCACCTGTTGTGTTCTTATGTATACGTTCATTGTTTATTGTCAATTTCCCTGCAGGAAAAAATAAGGTCCAACAGGGAAAGGGCCATGCCTATCCTGTTCACCAGGGCACCCTCAGGTTTAGGGCAGTGCTAGCACATGGTCAGTGTAATAGATGTCTGACGAATAAATGGACAGCTGCTCATCTTTCAGACTCAACTCAAGATCGGTTTCTCAGGGAAGCCTTACCTCAACCCCCAGTCCAGGACCCGTTTTTCTTTGTTTTGTACTGTCATAGGACCATGGTATTTTATTGTTGGTTTTTTCCCCTTCTGAGCAAATCTCTCATTTTGTAATTGATTGTTCAATAGTGTGACTATTCATTAAACATTTGTCTTCTCCCCACTTTGAAAGTTCCAGGACAGCAGAATCTAATATATATTTGTACATTATTGTATGGTCAGCACCTAGCAGAGTTTATAGCTAGATGCTCAATAAATGTCCACTGAATAAATGAATCATCAAGCAAAACCACTGGGATTGACCTCTCTAGAGCTCTGCTTCATTATGGCACATGTTGACCACAGCACTGGCTGGAGATATGCAATTTGTAGCAATTTCATTTTATTTCACCTACTTTGTGTTAGGCTGATTGGCTTCACAAAGTGGGTAAGGTGCTCCTGATTTATGCAGGGAAATGACCAACCCAAGTCATTTTAAATGTGAATTTCCTTTAAAGCCCTTGGTGATGTCCAGACCGTCTCATAATGATAATGCCATTTAGCATCAGTCTAGCACTGGGCTCACACTCAGAGCAGAGAAAGGAACATCAGGAGAGGCATTCAGGTCCCTGGAAAGATTCTTAACACTGGTCTCTGGCCCCACCAGGTTTCCCAGGCTCCTGTGGTCACCTGGTCCTTCCCAAGTGCTTACATGTGCCTTCCCGTAGATTCCGAACAGAAGTGACATACTCATATCCCAGGTACAGCTTGGAGTCCATCCTAGAGGGGACCCTTAAAAACCCGTGGGCAGAGTCCTTAAACAGCAGGTCCTTCCCATGAGGAGAGCTGAACAGTTGGAAGTCTTTTGATTTTTCTTTGCCAAAATGTTCCTGTTCATAGTAAAAGGGAATGTGAATGACAACAGGGAAGGAGTCTGAGAAATGGGACTGAAGAGAAAATAACCCTCCCCTACAAACAAAATGAAAACCATGAAAAATTTCAAGAATCCAGGAGAGAGGGCAGTTGGACCTGTTTCTGCTCACCCAGTCCCTCCTCTGCTTGTCACCCTCACAGGGCCAGCCATACCCAACTCCCCTGCACCCACTTCTGTGCCTGTCTCCCCAGATGAGCTGAGATCACTGAGAACAAGAAACATGTCTAATCCAGAGGCCGCACTGTGTGGTTTCCCCTCAGACTCCTGATGGACAGTCGGGATGGCTGGGTGAGAAGAAGCTGGCTCAGCCCAAACTCCACAGCTCTTGGGAAGAAAAGCCACCTTACAATCAGGTGAGTGACATGGGGAGAGATCATTTCTTTCTGAGGGGGCCATTGGAGGCTTCACTGGGGAGGGGTGTTTGCCCTTGAGCCTTGAAGGCCTGGTTTAGATAGAAAAGATGGAATAGAGCAAAAAGGAGCCTCTACAGACGTCACTGGCCAGAAAGGTAAGGATGGCAGGTGGTGACACCCGAGGAGGCTCCCTGCTGCTCTGTGAGGAGTCCCAGCTTCAGGAGAAGCTGATCACATGTGGCATGGCTCCCACTGTATCCAGAACACACAAGGACTTCTAGAATGGCAAGACAGCAAGGAGGAAAATCCCCAAATCCAAGCAGGGGGCACTAGGCAGGAGGGGAGGACGGCAGATAGGGATACCTGGGCCTGGTTGAGAAGCTCCCAGATCAAGTCCTCCTTGCCGTCCACACTTCGGGCCACAACAGCGTGAGAAGGGACCTTGGCCAAGTAGCAGTCCTTGTATTCATCCACTGGCTTCCGGGTGTTGTCCAGGCAGAGCAGCTCATACTGGTCCCTGTCCGCCTTGTTTGCCAGGTTCTCTGTGGGGGAAGCCCAGGTGAGCTGAGTGCAGGAAGAGCCATGGGCTGTGGTGCCCTCCTCCCCACCCTTGCAATCCTACTGATCATAGAAAGTGTGAGCTGAGAGGCCTGACCACTGAGGGCCAGAGAACATGTAGGAAAATGACTTGCTCAAGACCCACCCACAGCCAGATAACGCAGTTACTGTCCCCATCCCACCGCGAGTCTGATCTCAGCAGGACAACTAGCAGGCCAAGGTCAGCAGGATCAGCCCCCAGTCCTTTGCTATGGCAACACTGCCCCAGAGGCAGAGTCACTGTGTATAGAGGTTGAATAATGGAAAGCAGCCCAGGAATCCAGATGGGACCCCAAAGTTACCTACCTCTGCACAGGCAGAAACCCAAGCAATGATAAAGGAGAAACATAGTATGCTCATGTTGGACTACAGAGCATGAAAAATAGGGCAGGGAAAAAGAATGCCCACTACCTGGAGGGGCCCTGCTGGATTCTTCTCCCATTACTTACCAAATATGGTTGCATGCTTGACAAAGGCCACATCCCCAGCACCATCCTTCAGGCACCTGTGGGAAAGAAACACATTAGGAGGGCTCCTGCAGGGCAGGCCCTTCTCCTGGGCCTGGAGAGTCTGACCACAGTGTCCAGCCCTTGCATAAGGACAGAGCCTGAGGGAGGCCTCTGTGCAATCTCCACTGCGGTGCTGACACCCAGGGTACCCCCGAGATGGGGGAATGAGCTCACATGAGGTGAAGGTCCCTCACCTTATACCCCAAAGAAGCAAAATGCAATTGGAGATATTTTAATGTAGAAAAGAGTTTTTTAAACTTCTGGGATAGAAGATAACGGCATAGTGTCCCCTGAGGGTGGAAATGTGCCCTTGGCTGTCTCTAAAACTTCAGGGCATAATCAAGGTACAAAGAGAGCACAGGAAAACAGCCACATGAACTGCCTAAATAGGGACAGTGAAGGGGCAGGAGAGAGGCCAGGACATTGAGCAGACAGCACTGCTGGTATCGAGGGCAGAGGATCAGCCCCTGAACAGTGCCTGGAAACTAGACACATGCCTGTCTTTTCAGGCTCTGTCCTGTCCAGCAAGAGGGGACACTGGCCAGGCTCTAGGGCTCTGGGGCAGAGAGAGAAAGGGCCCCCAGGAGAGGGGCTTGCTTCTCAGGGTCAGACAAAAGGGAACATGGGCTGGCCTGGCCTCAGGAGTCCCAAGTCATATCACTGACTCACTGGGAGGGGATCAGGCCTCCTTGATGCCCCTTAGGCAGGCAGGCCTCTGCTTTGGGCTGGCAAAGAACTCTCACCCTGAGGACATTTGGCACTTTGGCCACAATGGAGCAGCAGACAGTCTCACTCACTTGAAGGCTCCTGAGTAGCCGTAGTATGGTTCAAGGGAGGAACAGCCACACCCTGGACACAGTTGACACAGCTGGGGGAAGGACTCCCCATCCGCACAAGGGACGCAGCTGCCCGAGAAGAAATTGGCCACTGCTGCTCAACACAGAGACATGGACCCCAGGGCATGAGTGAGGCTGGCCACAGCCAGTGACATCTCCCAGCCCAGGCTCATTAGGGGCAGGGAGGGACTAACACCAAACCAGCACACACAGTCCCAGCTCGCCCTTACTTGTGCTAACTCATCACAATCCAAGGTTTCCAAACAGGAACAAGTTAACCTCTGCCCCACCACCCATCCAAGGAAACGGGCCTGTGCTTCCCACCAACCAAGGCCTGTCTCAGGCCTTTGTCAGCCCACCCCCTCCCTGCCTTATCAGAGGCTGGAACAGGTCAGAGAGGTCCCCTCTGGGACCCATGCACCAGGGGTAGGAGAACTGCCTAGAGAGGTGCAGGCCAATCTCACAGCCAGCAGATAGCCACCAGAGAAGCCTCCAGGAAAGAACTCCAGAGAAGTGGACAAGAAGGCCCAGCCACCATGGTCCAGACCGAGCACCTCTGTCGGGCCCTTATGCCCTTTCCTCCACTCAATGGAATAGCCTCTCATGGGGTTTTGGGAGCTCAGAGCAGAAAAGGCTCAGCTGCCACCTTCCAAGGGCTGCTAGTCCAGCAGACCTGCCGGTTTAAAGCTGGTTAACCTCCCTCCCCCAGCCTGAGTTCATCACACATGTCCAGCTGATCATGATTATGGCTGGTGAGGGCATCAGGAGCAGAGACTCCTGCTCGAGGACACCCACACTCCTGCCAGCTTACCTCTCTCAAGAGGCACCCGTGGCTCAGGTAAGTCACAATAAAGCGAGCCAATGGGGATGTTCCACCCCGCTGATCTGCCCAGGCCTGTGTGGCAGGACTTCTTGCCTCGGAGCTCATTCAGCATGAAGCCACTGTCCTTTTTCACCACAGCAACAGCATAATAGTAGGTTTGTGGATCTGCAAAGGGACAGCATGAGTGGAAGGCCCTCAGCCTGGCACAGGAAAACGTTGCTCATCACTACTGAGCTCGTGAGGAGGGAAGGGGAACCCAGAGGCCACACTTATATTGGGTTGGATGTTTAAAAAAAATAAAAACCTTCCTAGGCTAGCAGGGGCAAGAAAAGACCACAGAAGGTACATTTGTAACACCCCCCACCTCTAGGCAAACACAGGGGCAAGAAGGCCACATGCATGTGTGCCCTTAATGCTTTGCCTACCCTGGCCCTGCAGTGTGTCTGCCTACACCCACCAACCCAAGCCCACAGGAAAACCAGAGCTGTGGAAACAGAGGCCCACATTCTCTGCTGCCTCCCTCAAAGTATTTCTTGTCCCCTCGCACAGGCCCAGGAACAATCAGGTTGATCTCAGAAGATGGCCAGGTCTATTGGGGTCTGACTGTGTGCACCATAGAGGTCTCTCCCTTGTGCAAGGCACCTGTGGTTCCAGAGGCCCCCAGGGACCTTGGACACATCACTAGATCGCAGTAGCCTTCAGGTCAAGCTGCACACAGCCTGCTCTGTTTCTCCAGTGAGCACATTCCCGGTCAGTGTCAGGAGCACCAGCCCGCAACCAGCTCCAAGGCCACAGAGGCCTTGATTTGTGCCTGTGATGGCTAACAGGGCCCCTCGTTTCCCACTCCCTCCCCAGAGATGAATGTTCATTCGTACCTAATATCCAATATCTGCCTGGAAAACACAAAGCTCAGCATCTACCCAGAGAGAACAGGGCCACAGACTTCCTCTTGGGTTTCCGGGGAGAACTTACCGTCTTTGGACCCATAGAACTCTGCCACTACAGGCTTCAGGTTGTTGGGAGTCAGGCCTGCCTCATACACCCAACCTGCATCCAGTGTCATAGCATCTGCGTCATTTGCCTGAAAGAGAACAGGCCAGACCTCGATGAAGCCCTCGCTTCTGGGGAAGGCCCACCTAAACCTGACCGAGTAGAGAGTGACGAGCAGGGCTCCACAGGTCCAGAGCCCGAAGAACCCTTCACATGGCCAGCCCATGCACAGCACCGCTGGTGTCAGTTGACTCCATCTCCCTCAAAAGGGCACAGGGCCACCATGTTCCTATTCTCCCTTCACGGAGGAAGAGATGGATTGTGTTTCCCTTTTCCCTGGTAAGGTATTCATTCTTGGCCAAAAATCCTATCTGGCTTTACCCCAGGCAGCTACAGAGGCTTGACCTGGCCGGCCTTGGGGGCGAGGCTGCCCTTGCCACCTCTGACTTGGGCACAGCTAGCGCACTGCAGTCTCTGGAGGGGACCGCAGTGCGGAACTCAGCTCCCTCTGGGCCGCACTCTCACACCTGTCTGCATTCCCAGCCCATGGCCTTCATCCAGAGACCTCTTTATTTTGAGGCCTCCTGTGAGGTCTTCTGCAGGTGCCTTGGTGGAGACTTTTTTCTGGGGGAGGGTGGAACCTCGAAGACATCTGTCTCCACTCTGACTCAGTATTCAATACTTTTCCTTTCTGTCCTGGGTCCATAAAACTGCAGGAACCTTTTGTTCAGAGATTGGACACTTTCTCTGGGTTTAGCTTCTTGGTTACACTATGTACTAAGTGATCAAAGGGTTGATTGTTACTTCCATTTTTCCTCATTTTTGGTACAATTGTCTACTCTGACACCTGGTGGCTCACCTCTTTTTCCGTCTCAGTTCTATTTTCTAAGTAAGAAAACTGAGGCACAGAAAAGTTAGGTCACTTCCCTAGGCCATGTAGCTAGTAAATCACAGAGCTGGGATTTGAATCCAAGCACTCTGAGTTTATTTCTTATCTTTCACTGTTGCTTCAGGTTGTTTTATTTTTAACTTTGTGCTTCTATTAATATGAACCCTCCTCTTTAAATCAACAGGTCACTTTAAATATTATAGTTGCCTTCCTATGGGGTCTAAAATTTATTTTCTCTTTTACATGAATTCTTTTTTTTTTTTTTTTGAGACCAAGTCTCACACTCTGTTGCCCAGGCTAGAGTGCAGTGGCACAATCACGGCTCACTGCAACTTCAAACTCCTGGGCTCAAGTGATCCTCCTGTCTCAGCCTCCTGAGTAGCTGGGACTACAGGTGCACACTACCTACGATGCCCAGCTAATTTTTCTATTCTTTTGTAGAAATGGGGTCTTGCTGTATTGCCCAAGCTGATCTCAAACTCCTGGGCTCAAACCATCCTCCTGCCTTAGCCTCCCAAATTGCTGGATTACAGGCATGAGCCACCTCATCCAGCCTCTTTACCTGAATTCTTAAAGTGAATCAAATTGTTTTTTATATAGATACTTAGAAACATTATTTTATTTCTTTTTTTTTTGCTTCACATAGCTTTAATCAAAATGGTTTTTCCAGAAGTCCTTATAGTTCTCTATCAACACTTCTTATTGATCAAATTACAAGGCAAAAACTATAGCTCTAAGATCTTAGTCATGTTACAGAAAAGTAGTAAGACAGTAGTATTTCTAAATGAAATAAAATATCGATGTAAGCCAAACTATGTCTTTGTCTAGTCGAAATTTTTTTAATGGTTGGGGTTTTTTATTATTTTATTGTAATAAGATATACATAACATAATATTTACTCTTTTAACCATTTTCAAGTGTACATTTTAGCGGCATTAAGTATATTCAAATTGTTGTGCGGTCATCACCACCATCAATCTCCAGAACTTTTTCATCTTCCCAAACCAAAATTCTGTACCCATTAAACAGTTCCCCCCTTCAATATTCTCCATGCCCCAGACCCTGGTAACCATTATTCCACTTTCTGTAAAAATTCTGATACATGCTACAATGTGGATGAAACTTGAAAACACAAGTAAGCTAGATACAAAAGCACAAATATTGTATAATTCCATTTATATGACACTTTATTCTTCCTCCCTGCATATATCACTCATCTTCTTCCTGATAATATATCAAGAGTTTCCAAACAGGGTTATATAATAATTTAGATAGTGAACATTCTTGTTTTTTCCCTGAGTTCAGAGAACTTAGTTCCTCAAAATAGTTACCTTTCAGTGTACACTGGCTTTTGCTTTCCAGATACATTAAAGATGACCTCCCATATCCATTTTTTTTTTTTTCCAGACAGAGTCTCACTCTGTTGCCCTGGCTAGAGTGAGTGCCGTGGCGTCATCCTAGCTCACAGCAACCTCAAACTCCTGGGCTCAAGCGATCCTCCTGCCTCAGCCCCCCGAGTAGCTGGGACTACAGGAATGCGCCACCATACCCGGCTAATTTTTTCTATATATTTTTAGTTGTCCAATTAATTTCTTTCTATTTTTGGTAGAGACGGGGTCTCGCTCTTGCTCAGGCTGGTCTCGAACTCCTGAGCTCAAACAATCCGCCCTCGGCCTCCCAGAGTACTAGGATTACAGGCGTGAGCCACCGCGCCTGGCCCCATATCCATTTTTAAAGTGATTTTAATGGCAGTCAGGGTTGACTGCCCCATAGCTCAGCATCCTACCTATGAATAAAGAATTGTTTCAAAATGACTGGAGAAAGAGAAAGTATAGACTTCCTTCCACTTTCTTTTAGGCAGCAGTGACTTACCGCGATTGCCTTGATGCAATCAAGGTGGGAGGCTTTCTTCACACACATGAGTTGGAGACCATCTGTTGGAAGGACTTTTTTCATATTATCACGGAAACTGTAGCACTTACTGGCCTCGTGATCTGACACGGCGCACCATCTTACAGTTTTCTCAGGGACAGCCAGGCACAGCCCTAGGGGAGAGAGGCCAGAGGTGTAAGAAACTCACTCCTTGTGCTGGGAGAGAGACAGCATCACCCTCGGAAGGGGCTTGGCAGCCACATCTGTCCCATCCTCCTCTCACTCCTGTCCATGAACACTGCAGGGCACAGGACAGGTTCCACTGCATTCTGAGACTGGGCCAAGGGAAGGTTGCCCTAATGGCCTCCTAGTTCCCTGCTGACCACCCTGTGCTGGCCAGAGAGAGGCAGGCATGACCTTCAGCTCCCAGATGGAAAGGGCAGTCTGCTCCTCTGTGTTCCCCTTGCCTCCTTCCCTCACTGTCACGACCCCCAGCCTGCCACAGTGTGCACAGGGCATTTCCAGCCACCTCAATGCCTTGGCTCAACACCACAACTCTGGGAAGCCAGCAGGGTAGGAATTACCATCTTTTAGAAATGAGGGAGCTAGACCCAGAGAATGACGCTTTTTTTGCCCAAAGTCACCCCACCTGTTAGTGGCCAAGGCAAGCCCAGAACCTGGGTCTCCAAACTCTTAGTCTGCTACCCAGGGCACAAAAGAAGATAACATTCTGAGTTACTTTGCTCCTCCTTGGCCAGTAGTTACAGGTAGATGAATGAAAAGATAATTAATTTGCCTGTGACACTCATTAGTCATCTTCTATTTAGGAATAACTAGAAGCTCCGTGTATTCAATGGTCTTCCCTATGTTTCCACTGAACACTCCAATTTTCACTACTCATTTTAGCTGCCATTTAGAGACAAAGCTAAAGCCAGCCATGTGTATAGCAATTAAAATCTACGTGGCTACAGAGATATCCTCCCTATCACATGAGCTTTGGCACTGCTCCCCCCACGCCCTCCATCATCTCCCCTCCCTGGGGGCCAGCACAGCAGTGCTGACTCACTGGCTCTGATGAAGATCCACAAAACACAAAGCATGAGGGGGAGGCTCTCAGCTCCCCGGGATGCATGAGGAGGGACCATAGGGGACTGACTTCCCCATTGCCCCCCAACTATTCCACCTTGGCCCATGGGAAATCATAGGAGGCATCATGAGTCAGACCCTCCCCAAAATTACCCCTTCCGAGTTCCCATAGGCAAGAATTTGTCCTCAGTCGGGCATCACCTTGCACAGCCCCATGAAGTGCCGCAATGGGGGATAAAGGCAGGCAATGCGGGGTCCTCTCTCAAGAGTTGATAGTTCATCAGGAGAGACAAATAACTAAACGGGGAAGTTCCAACAATGTGACAAATGCCCCACGAGTGGCAGGCAAACGTTAGAGTACAAAGCAGCCCCCAAGCTCAGGAGGTGATGGGGGGGGCATGGGTCGCAGGCCCCACAGCAGATATTGCAGCATCCTGCCCTGGGGCGTGGCATCCACGACCTCACTTACCCTCCCAGGCGCCCCCAGGCAGGTGCTGTTATTATCCATTTCACTGGGAAAGGGAGGAGCTGGGTCAGGATTTGGACCCAAGAATTCTGGCTCCAAATCCCATACTCTGAACCACTCCATGGCTCTGCCTCCTTAGCGGGACATCAACAGCCCAGAGGGCACCTAGGGGACATCAGACTCCGAAGAGGGCGGGGTCAGATGGGGAGGTCTTGAATGCCACGCTAAGCAGTTCGGACTTGACTGAAGAAGCAGCAGTGCAGGGTTTTGATCAGCTGTGATTAGAAGTGCTCTAATTTATTGCATTCCACTGCTGCAAGACTTATTGGACAAAGAAGAGGAGGCAGCGAGTGCAGTGAAAGGTGGCCAGAGGCCCAAGGAGGAGCCAGCAGGCACTGGAAGGCGGGGCCCTCCCTGAGACAGGGTTGAAGAAGGTTGAGAGGGGTGTGGCGGAGAGGGGCGAGGAAAGGCGCTGGAGCTTCGCGCCTGAGTGCCTGAGCGCGGAGCCCTGGCTGCCGGCGGCTGGGTCCGGGAAGCATGGGACAGCGGCTACTCCGCGGTCCTTCCTCACGTTCACACTCACCCAGGACAGCGCAGGCCAGCAGGGCGCCGACAGCGAGCTTCATCCTCTCGGTGTGTGGCGGCGAGCACAGGCCGACCTGCTTCTGTGCCCCCTCCCCGCGCCCCGGGCACTTTTATCCCCGACGGGGCCAGGCGGGGCCAGCCAGGCGCAATCTTTGACCCCAGTGTTTGTGCAGCCCGGTTGCCCAATCGCCGGTCACCCGACCCCCTTCCTTGCTTGCCCCGCTGATCACCTCATTTCCGGAGCTCTAAGGATCAGTGGATGGAAGGAGTCCAGCACAAAAATGCTGATGGGAAGGGAAACAAAGTACAATTCTCCCCTTGTTATTACTGCCAGCTCTGTGCCAGGAGCGTGGCCACAGCGGGCTGGCAGCGGGGCGGCTCTGCTCCTGACTCCAGGGCTGCGAGAGCTGGTCCATGCCTCTGGTCCTCTCTGCTGTTTCTACAGATGCGGACTCTGAGACCAGGAGAAGGACGGGAACTGCCCCAGATCCTACACTAGACGGGAGAATGACAGGCAAAACCCTTCCTGGGCGAGGATGCAGGAGAAGTAAGCTGGTATCAAGGCCAAAGAGGTCAGACTCAGCACCGTTTGCTCCTCCCTGGTCGTCCCTGGAAATCCTGCTCCTGGGCTCTCGAAGGTCCGGCCCTGAGGAGCTGCTCCCTCTCCCTGCCCCATGAGCGCAGGCTCCTGGGCTGGAAAACTGCCTGCCCTCAACCCTCCTGTGGCACTCCTTGGGCTAGGGACAGAGTCACAGGGCAGATGAACTCTCTCCACAAGAAGCTTCCAGGAATGTGGTCAAGACATTGGGAGCACAAAGAAAGAGGCCCAGGAATGGATGTGACCTGTTCTAACAGCTTCCAAGCCACCGCTGTCTCCCTCTGGCCGAGTAGTCTCTGAAACATTTTGATTGTACATCCTTATTACAAAAAATATTGAGTTTGTGCCTTCTATGTATGTATTTTTTAACTAAAAATTGTGTGCATTTCAATCATGCACAAGAAATACGAACTTATAAAACTATGAGATGATGAAATGCACTCATTTTTAAATGTCCTTCTGCTTATGCTGCATTATATATGATGACTAATAGCTCAAGGCACTATATATTAATACTTAGGGAAAAGTCAAGGTTCCTTAGGCAAAGCGTAAATCCAGATTTCAGAGAGACATCAAGATAATTTTAGGGTTTTCCAAAGTTTCTTCTTACCCAATGTAATCAGATGGTCACAGATTCTGCCTCATGTTTTAGCTGACAAAGAGCTTAAAGCAAGCCTAGTAGACATGTCGGTTCAACTATTTTATTTGAGTTCCTTCGTGTTCGTTTTGTCAGAATTATCTTCTAATTCTGGATCCTTTGTAGGAATCTTTTTAAGGCACTTGTGCATCAAGTTGGAGAGTTAAAACCAGATTATCTAATCTGTACAGCTGTTTAACTGGGCACACGCAAACCACAAAATATAGAAACAAAAAATGCCAAAACAAAGGACAGGGTCAGGGTGCCACAACTGTGCAGCACCCCCTTTCCTAACCTCTCCCACTGTGAGGTGCTCCCGTCTTTCCAGGACACCTCAAAGGCTCCATATTACATGCTACCATCTGCCTGCATACCCAGGTGGGAGACAGGGCCAATCCATGCATTCAATATGAATGTATGATAATTTGTTAATCTTTTGCAATAACGATAAATATAATTGGAAGTGTTCTCCCGCACCCTAATAGATTGTCTCATATACAAAGTGTTCCACATCCCCCACTTTAGAGACCATCGCTTTAGTGGAGGCTTTCTGTTTACAGTGGGGACTCAAGGCAAGCCTGGCCTTCCAAGCACCTGCCTTACCATGAAGAAGAGTGGCCACTGCTGTCGATTCTTACTGCTGCCCCTTCCCCACCCCTGCTGCCTTCCTGGGCCCCTTGTGTTTGAGCCATAGGGAAATAAGACTCTTGGCAGGGGGAGCATATTCCTACTGCCGCCCTACAGCAAGCACTAGGGGTGGTCAGGCAGTCAGGGGAGGGCTGGCTGGGAGGGAGGGCAGCCAGCAGAGCAGCACACCCACATTCAAATAATGCCTGGGGCAAGCCCTGCTGTGAGCTTTCAGGGTCTGCCGGAAAGCAGGAAGTGGAGTTACCAAATGTTGAGCTAGTGCCACAAACTCAGGGAAGCTCAGCGAGGGGCATGGTAAGCAAATGGACAATGATCCTCCCTCCCTGGAGCACTCTACCTTCACAGAGTCAACCCTTCTGAGGCCACTCCCCCAGCCACAGGCCCACAGCCTACCCAGAGCCCTTCAGCAGGGAGCAAACTTTGGCCAGGCTGAGCCCTCTCCAGACCAGCCAACCCCATGTTCTGTCCTCCGTGGGGTCCTCTGAGTCCAAGCCCAAGGCAGGTGCTGGGATAGAAGTGCACAGCCTCCTGGGATCTGGAGAAAGCTCAGGACGTGGAGAACAGGAGCTCCCACATCATTTACTCATTCAGGGCCTTGGTTCTCACTCGGGAGGACAACAACAGAACCCTGTGTCTGCCATTCCTTGGAGGGGTAGGCAGGCCAGGGCCAGCTTTGGGGTGTACGTGTGTATGCAATCCTGGTTGGATGGTGTGCCCATGCTTGTGTATGTGTATAGGGGTACGTGAAGGTAAGAGGACAACATTACAAGTGCTCTGTGTCCTTGGTGGCCCATGACACTTGTACCTTTGCTCTCACTTACGTTGTTTAATTCTACACCAGAGGCTCTGGAGTCAAAACTCATTATCCCTTTTTATAGCATAATGATTGCTGAGACTTACTGAGAGCTTCACTGAGCTTTAGAGTCTCTGTCTTACAGCTGAGACAAGGAAACTGAGGACCAGAGAGGATAATAGCTTGTGCAAGGTCAGCTGCAAAGTCAGAATGCAAAATCAGGCAGTCTGGTTCCAGAGTGTACCCATCCACCTGGGATACTGCCTCTCCCAGGAAACCAACACACACAGGGCCAAGGGGCTCATCTGGGGTCACACCCAGCCTGAGGTTTCTCCACAGGCACACAGCCCAAGACTTCTGCCTGCAGAGGGGCTGGTCAGTCTGGGAGAGGTGTGAATGCCCAGCTGCAGAACCTGAGACAGGCGCTATCTTGACTATGTTCAGCTGGAAGAAAATGTCATCTTTTTAAGCCCTTTTTGTGGGCCAAGCACTGTTCTGCGGCCAGATAAGATCAGTACCTCCTTTTTCTGATGTAGACAGTACAATGAAATGATGAGTCCTCGTTCATGGAGCTCTGGGACCTGAACTCAGATCTCCTAAACCCCAGCCTTCTCTAAGACCACACCTGCCTTCTTGATATTAATCTTCTCTTTCTGTACCCAGAGGAGGAGAGGGAGGGAGGCAGGTGAGGGAGAAAGAGATTGAGAGAGGAGTTAAGGGAGCTTCTAGCTCTAGACCAACTCAAGCATGACCCACATCTTCCACCATAAATGGAACAAAACTCTTAAATTCCAACCACAGAGTTGATCCTCTTAGAGAAACATCTGAACTTGTGTGTATGTGCAGAAGAATTGGGGAAGCTGACCAGAAGGAGGCGGGCAGGAAGGCAGTGGGCCTCTGAACCAATATTTGTTGTTTCCAAATATTGCCCAATTTACACAGAAGCAGAGCAAACAAAGAGCCTCTGTCTGCTTCAGGCAGCCCCTCCTCTCCCTCCCCCACAATGTCCTCTGCCTGACACTAGATGCTTCTTCTCTGAAATCCTGTGACTGGGTTGTCATTCGGGGGGAGCAACCAGCAGCTTGAGAGCCAATGCTCATAAGGCCAGTCACCCCACAGCCCTGCCCTGCCAGGTTGGGGGATGTTGAGGCCAGTGGGGACCAGGGCAGGTCCTTTTAGAAGATGTCAGAAACCACCTCTCTCTCTCTCACTCTCTCTCTCTCTTTGACTCTCTTTCTCTCTTTGTTCTACCTCTCAGAAGTCCTTGGACAATGGAAGAATCTCAAGGTTTTCATTCTTTTCATAGAACAGTCCATAAAAAACTCTTCTCATGAAGAATAGTCCAGGACCAGGTAGACCGAATTCTATCAAACATCTAAGAAGAATTACCCCAATCTTTCTTACATATAGTCTTCCAGGGAACAGAGAAGTAGGAACACTCACTGATTAATGTTTGGAGGACAGTATATCTACTTTGAAAGGAAAAACCAACAAAGACATCATGACAAAGATAAAAAATATCTTTTATGAACACAGATGTAAAAATTCTACATAAAAGACGAGCAAATAGAATCTAGCAAAATCTAAAAAGTATAATAAATAAATTACCAAATTGGGTTTACTCCAGGAATGCAAGTTTATTTTGAAATAACAATCAGTATAATTGATCAGACTAACAGAATAATGAAGAAAATTATATGACCATATCAATCAGTACAGGAAAATCACTTAATAAAATTCAATATCCATTCATAATAAAACCTCTTAGCAAACTTATTCTACAAAACTTCCTCAATCTGATAAAAGTGTATAATAAAAACCTACAGAAATCACACTTAGTTGTGGAATGTCAAACAACACCTTTCTTCTCTTGGAGATCAAGAATAAGACCAGGATGCCTACTATTATCATTTCTAGTCAACACTTTTACTGGAGGTCAGTCAGGCAAGAAAAAGAAATAGTAAGTAAAAGGATTGAAAAGGAAAAACGAAACTCTCATTTTCACAGATAACTGTAAATGTATAAAATTCTAAAGAAACTAGATTATATATTAGAATAAATGAATTCAGAAATATAGCTGGATGCAAGGTAAATATATAAAAATCAATTATATTTCTATATATTAATACAAAATGAAAAAACATGAAAAATGCTATCTAAAGTAGCATAAGAAATATAAATGCCTAGGAATTAATTTTTCAAAAGATGTCTAAAACTTTTATGCACTGGACTATAAAATATTATTCAGAAAAAAATTAAGAAATTCTAAGCAAATGGAAGACTATATTCTGAACATGGAACAAAAGACCTGATATTGTAAAGATCTCAATTCTCCCAAAATTGATTTACAGATTCAATGTACTCCCAAATTCGCAAGAAGTGTTTTATACATTTTGGTGCAAATTG